GAAAACTAATCCAAAGATGGGTTCCCAGTAAGGTTAGGGTAGGGTTAGCGGTGATTGTGGTTAGAGTAAAAGGTCTGTTCTCAGAAAATGAATTTAAGTCTCCCAAAGTGATGAAAAGAGAGCTGTGTGTGTTCCTGTGTGCACAACAGTAATTCCATCTTTACACCACTAGCCAACAGAATGAAAGAAATAAAGAGAAAAGGGATAGAGTAAATTGCACATAGCTGGGAGCAAGGAGGTTATGGCACAAGGTGTGAATCTCCAGAAAGAATGATGGGCACATTGAGCCAGACTCCCCAGGGGCTGAGCATGTGGAGCATCATGTTCATGGCTGGACAGAAAACCTAATGTAGAGTCTGTGGTGACACGATCCTTTCAGAGAAGCTCTTTCAAAGTGGTGTTTTATCACCCAACAAAATAAATGGAGAACTGAAGATTTTTTTATTAAAAATGTGATGCCAGTTTTAATGTGCGAGTCTGTTTGGTTTAAGTGCTGTGTCTTTTCCTCCTTCACCTATGGAGGAAAGAAGATATTCCCCAATAAATAATGCAGCACTCTCCCATAAGGCTTATGACACAAAAGTTCAAGAGTCACTGGATAATTCAGCATACACTTGTACTCGTACTTGTATAACAAAAACATACAAGTACGACTGAGCCAGGCAAACAATTTATCCACCATTTACAGCACTAAGAAAAAAAATCTATCCTTACAGAAAACTGAGGTTAGATACAAACAAATATTGACTTTATTGCTTTTACACACAAACTAGTGAACTTTACATAGGCTTTATTATTATATTGACCAATCTTTACAGCTATAGCAGCTTAATTTCCTCTGGGACAAAAAGTTTTAGGACAGTGTTTATGGGAATATTTGACCAAACTTCCAGGAGAGCATGTGTGAGGTCAAGTATTAAAGTTGGACAAGAAGGCCTAATAATTTTTTCTTTCAATGCTCTAAAGGGTTTATGTGGACACTCTGATTCTTTTACACCAAACTCACTCATTCATGTCTTTAACCTTGCCCTGTGCACTGGTGGACAGTCATATCGGTACAAGAAGAGGTCATTCCTCAGAAGAATAACAATTTCCCAGATGTCTTCAGATGTTACATCAAGACTTGTGCCAAGCCTCAACACCTATTAAAATAGGGGGACATAGAACACATTCATTGCCATGTTTGACAGACCCTTTTGTGTTCAAAGGAATATGTACAGAGCATAAAATTAAGGGACACTCAATGATTAAAGGTCTTTCTTTATCACACATAAAATAGACTGTAAGGAAATTGTCAGAAATCTGCTGAAGAATATGATTTAATGACAGATATTCTACCTGTAGATGTCTCAAAGCCACATCTAAAGAACTCAGACAGCAAAACAAAAAATTAACTTGTAGGTAGGTAGGTATCTTATAGAAAGGCAGTGACTGTAAGGTTTCTTTTTTTTTTTTTTTTTTTTGTCGGTGCATTTCTTTTTTAAAAAAACGGAAAAGTGAGTATTTTTTCAGCAAAAGTTTCAGTTCTGTTTGATTGCTTTGTTGAATATCACACATAGTGCAGAGAATTTCACAACACAAACTTTGTAAGCAGTAATTAAATTATTTTGAACACATGGGCAAATATTGCATTGCATTTTTTTTTCTCTTGGTCTACTAAAAATAATCTGCGAAATCAAAACTCAAGTTAAAAGGTTTGTTAAACATTTTTTAGAAAGAGAAATATTGATGCTGATTATTTTCTTTTCTCCTCTTAATTAGGCATGAAAACTGTCGTGTCATCCAAGTATTCTGCACACACACATGCACAAGCACGCACACACACACACGAAACACTAATAGCAATTTAAGCTCGGAAGTTACTCATTGCTGGAGCCTTGCTGTATACAATCCGAAAAGGAAAGGACAGTAAAGGCACAGTAAGCGTACTGCACTGCAGTTTATCAGCTGTTCTACTTTCTTTAGGTTCTCACACATGTGACAGTGCAAGCTCCTCTTGTGTCACTGCCAGCAAAACAAAATTAAGGAAGAGTTAAAAACTCAATGAGCCTGGTAATTAAATTTTAATGGTGGACATAAAGCAGCCTGACAACCACTTAAAGCTATAGGCAGAAACTATATCTGCAACACAATCAGGGAGGAAACTCCTTTCCTCCTTAGCAACCCACACATTCATTGTGTCATCATGGGAAAATTTATCAAGAGAAAATTCCAATTCAACCAAGTCAATTATTTGAATTCCTTTTTGAGACCGGAACCCTCCATTATTATTATTACTATTATTATCATTATTGTTATCGTCACAGCTCTGATGACAGACACTCTCAGTGAGAGCCGGTTGGAGATGTCCTCAAAGGAAGTGGGTCCAAGTGGAAAACCACTTGGTTTTCCAAGTGGAACCAAAATCCTTCCCACTATGTAAATGTTATAACTTTCTTTATGTGTCCTTTTGAATATGCAACCTCTGCAGCTTTAAACTACATCAGCAATGCTTTCAGGGATGTGTGTATATTAGAGCCACATTTATAAAACATATGGAAGTGTTAAAATCCCTAGTCTTTTATTGCAGTGGCAAAATGTTGCGCTCAAATATACATGAAGAAAATCCTATTTCAGTTCATTATTCAGTAGTAAAAAAATCTCAGAAGTCAAGAAATGTTTAATTTTAAAGTAACAAGTGACAAAATTATTGTTTCTACTAACAAACCCAATAAACAAAAAACGTAACTATTTTTATATTCATAGTTTACAAGTTAAATATGATAGCATTCCTTTTTGCAAGTGATACCTCGGCTGGACTCCCACAACTTAAAGCTCTCTGTTCAATAACTCTAGCAAACATGTGGCCGCTTGGGGTCACCAGGTGTCCACAACAACAGCTGGATTGTTGTGGACAACATCCCATCTACATGCCTGCTGGTTGCTTAAAAGTGATTCAAGGACAAGAGAAGGGATTTTCTGTCTAGACAAACATTTTGAATTTGCTAGATACTCTAGATACTACTGGGACTGGGTACTTTTGTCAAATGAGACTAAGGTACTTTTTTCTTTTTTTTAAATACCAAAAGTGCGTTTATCATGAAGCAATAAAAAGCATTTAAATCCCACTTTCTAGTACAGTGGATGATCCGTACTGCAACAGTGCCCTGCAATATTTGTTAAATCACAAAGCCATCATGAACTTTTGGAAAACCCGAACTTTAAAAAAAATGTGGGTTTTACTAATGTATCTTTCAACAACCACTTAGGTCAAATTTAACACTCAACACTTCACGGAACAATTTCAACTGTGATTTATGCTGACAATATGTTAGGCTTTTTACTCCCAGAGTCCTATAATTCATAGATTTGAAGTGAAGTCGAAATGAAAAAACAGCAAGACAAAATGAAAATACAGCAGTCAAACTATTAGTAGCAATGAACGCATGAAAGTACACACACACAAATCTACTACTAAATGTTTGGAAAAGGGCTACAACAATATGTCAGCATGAGCATCATTTATATAACTCAGTGACAGTTAGAATAAATAACTTTTGTCAATGAAAAAAAATTGCACATAACATTGCATTCACATGCAAATTATCTTTCAACCAACACTGCAGTGCAAGGCTCACAGAGGCAGCAAGTAAGTCTGGACAGCAAAGTTTAGCACTTTATATTCCTATCAGTCCTGCCACCTGTGCAAAAAGCAACCAGACCACCAGAGAGAATAGAGTATAAGGGAGACAAATTCTCAAAAATCATAAAAGCCCACAGAAAGCCCTTTGAACCTTTCAGACCTCGTGATGGTCCGCTAAACAGAACGGATTGCTTCCAGGCCACAATGGAGCTTAATCACAGCCTGAATGTTTGGCAGCATTAACTGATGAGCTAACCTGCCTGCACAGAATGAAAAAAATCAACTGTCACAGAAAAAAACTGATATTTACTCTGAGACCATAACCCTGACATTACAGGCCATAGTAATGCTCTTTACCTCCCAATTACTAAATGCAACATGTATTTTATATCAAAGACAGGGAGAAATAAGAACTTATTCTAAAGTTTTTCTATGTCTCTATTACAACTATCAAACAACAACATTTAAGGTTCATAAAGAGAAAGGGTAAAAAGGGTAAAAAGTTTACCACAACAATTAGGATGAAAAAGATTCAGTGAGAAATCCAGTCTATCTTGCACAGCAAGGAGGATGTTAAGAAAAGTTTAAAGATCATAAAAGCTCACTCATCAAAGCAAGACTCTGCAACACAGTAAACTCAAGTACACTCAAGAGACAAATGGTTCACCAAGGTGAATATTTTAGGCTTGTTACCCATATTTACAGTGATTATACAGCAGATATTCGGTTTTCACGTTATCACAATACTCAAACAAAACACCACGCTGCTTGACTTATGATAAGAGCTCTTCAACGCCGTGTGTTAAAAGGTCAAAATGCCGATCATACAAAACAGCTTCCATGACATTTAAATGTCTCTGGTATTTTAAATGTTACAAGTTTATCTGTAATATTATGTTGATGAATGAGCAGTGTTCTTCAGTCCTCATTAAATGTAATCCAAAAGATTTGATTAACCTCATCAAATTCAGTGTTATGTTTTTTAAGTTTAAGTGGCTTTTATTTGCATTGCACAGGAAAAGGGGAGAAAAAGGAATAGGGAGAGCGGGAAGGGGAATATCAGTAGCAAAGTTTGGGTTTGAATATCAGATGACTGTGCCAAGGATTAATAGCATAACAGAACCCCCAGAATCAAACAGAAAAAAACATGTGACCTAACAGAAGACAAAAAAAGAAGAAAACTTAAATTATAAATTATGGTAAGCAAGACCAAGTACACTTACTTAATCACTTAATCATAATCACACACCACTCCTGTAACACCTCCAGAACCAGTTATTCTTTATGTTCACCAGCAGAGGGCAGCAAAACACAACTTAAAGTTGAACTTTTGACAAACAACCAGCAGCTTAAAAAGGTTAGAGGGCAGAGCTCCTACCAGCATTGACTATGGCATCCACCTCCAGGACAGTAATATCACCCTTGTAGAGAGATACTTTATCACCAAGGCCTCCTCCACCTGTAAGCTCCTTCTCATCATCTTCTTTGTTCCTGGCTGAAGTAACGAACAGAAACATGCCACCAAGCATGTAATGGAGTTAGATATCTGCTGGACATTTGAAGAGTTTGCAGATGTGCTCAAAAAGGCATGAAGGTTCACTTTAATGTGTAGGTGATAAACAATTAGTTTCATATCAAACAACAACATTTCATAGAGTAGCAAAACAAAAAAAAAAAGATAAAAAAAATAAAAAATATTTAATTATAAAATAAACTGACAGGACAGAAAAAGAAATGTCAAAGAATTAATAGCTTTAGCAACATTCACAAATAAGATATAAAGCATGTTGATGAGCTTTAGTAAAATAATTTTTGTTTCCTTCTAACACTGAATGTGATCTTAAATACTCAATGTGACACAAGCACTTACTCTTTTTTTGGATAATGCAGAAAAGGTTGTTGATGAAGACATGTGAAAAGTCAAATAAATTGATCTTTTATAGCACTAGTGTAACCCACACAGTAAAAACCAAACCTTTAATTTAATGATGATTAAGTTTGTAAAACAAAATTCCGTTTGAAGAAAGAATTATTTGTAACTAAAATCACTGGTTGCACAATTACAGGCGCTTAAGCTGTCAATATTTTGTACCAAGCCCTATTGCCAAAAGGACACCATGAAAGCCTAATGGCATTCTTCAAGGTTGGAGCATTCAGACTTTTGGCTTTTCCTTTCTTAATCATCCTTGGCTCTCTTTCATGCCTTCATGTCTTTTTTCCCACTCAGCTCCCACAGGTTTTCCAATTGACAAACCCATTCAGTGTTAATTTGCCCATACATTTTGGATCAATATCAAGTTTAAATCACCCGATGGCCTATTTCTAATTTTCCTGTAGATCACCAGATTCTTATTGAATTTGTCCTGTTATTTGAAGAGCTCATGATCACATGAACTCTCACAAGTAGCTGTATGTAATATTTTAAACTGCAACCTTTTTTTTTTATTGCAGATGCAAAGGTCTGCTTTGATGCAATATTTAATGGGTTATTACATTTAAAAGAATATTAATTAATGCACTGCATGAAAATATATTTGTACTCTTACTACTCTCCTTGCCCAAATTTTAAGCTTACAAAAAGTGGTGGGAAAAATCTGATGATGCAAAATGAGAAGGTAAAAAAAATTAAAAGAAAGAAAAGCTACCATCTTCCACCAACTTGGCATTCAGCAGCTTAAATAACAAACAGAAAGTCTCTCACATCTATTTTCCTCTCTCCAAGTTGGAATGTCTTCCAGTTGTGTAAAACCTTTACGATATTCCTTGCGCCTCTCCTCTCGATCTAGTTGAAGGAGTCGTTCTGTGAACAAAAACAAACAAAAAGTTATTTGACAAACTCTTCTTCTTCCAAAAAAATGATTCCACCTCTACCACAGAGACTAGTATATAACCTTTACTGTTACTGTTCAATAGTGCTTTTATGGACAATTTACAAAAAAATAATAATAATTATCGCTCAGAAATCTCCCCCACTGCCTTTCTTTCATGATGTTGTAACTAATCAGTAAACCTTTATAACTACTTACCCTGGAGATCCATCCACTCAGTGTGAAATATTTATTTTCTACATAATCTTTCAGATTTGGAAATAACCTCCATTATAAATAGATGACATTACAAAACTTTTGATTGCCCTGTTTTACGCCCTTTTTCTAATGAGATAATCCTTTTGTTCACCTCTATTCTTGAATACTTGGCTACTTTACAATCACATACGGTGATACATTTTGTTAGGGCAACAAAAGAAGCGAGTCATTCTGAAATATGCCTCTTAAACTTTGTGAGATTAGATTGAAAGTCTTAACTGGATTTAAGTCTGAAGTTAACTGGGCTATATCTAACACATTCATATTCATGGATCTACACCAGCATTTCTCAACTGGTGAGTCCTGATCCAAAGATGGGTCATAAATCCTATTTCAATTAGTTGTGAGCAATTGCATGGACAGAAAATGATGAGAAAAACAATAGTGGATTGTTGATCAACCCTACAGCAGGTGGTCTCCCTGTAATGAGAGTTGGCATTAATTTGTTTCACACCACAAAAGAGGACATAAAGTTTGTTAAATGCTAATCAATCACAGCAAAAGGTTTCAGCTTTGTAAGACTAGTTTCCTGAGAAACAGAGGGATGATTATATGTGCAACACCTGTGAAATGAGCATGGAAATCATAACTAAAAGTCAGCTGGGCAGGCTATCATGTCATGGCAATACAAAATTTGCTAAGGTAAGCTTTCCTCAGTTCTGCTGCTGTACTGCAATACAGCAGCAGAATTCCTCCAGCCCTTCAGCACCTGTCTCTATGAGAGCAGTTTTCCAGCTCTGGTTCAGCTGAAGAAAAACAGCAGAAACAGACTGGATATTGAGCTTAACCTCAGAGTTAGATTGTGTGCTGTATCTCCAGACTGCGAGGTTCTCATCAGGAGCAAAAAATGTGTGCAATAAAAACAGTGATTAAAGAAAGTGATTATTATTTTACCTCTAGTCTATTGCTGCTTATAGTTTAAGAGAAAAAACTAAGGATTGGAAGATGTTTATTTTATGAAATATGCAAGTAAATCAGCAACAGACTGTTAAAATTACTGTTAGTGATTGCTCTGATTATCATTTTAGTCTTATGAATAAAGCATGAATAACTGACTAAGTAAGATCTTGGAAATCCCAGAATCAAGACCGGTGGAGAACCACTGATCTAAACTATTCACTCAAGACTCTCTTTGTAGATTTAAGGCTATAGTTTATCTGGAAGATGGGTAAAGTGTTCTGAAACCTCTAATAAGATTTATTTTTTTATTTTTAAGATTACCCTGTGTTTCGGTCCGCCTGTCTTCCTAGGAACTCTGACTACCTTCCTTGGGCACAAATTTGAATTACACTGTCACATATAATTCTCGTAAGGTAATTTGAAAAAGTACAAGAAGTTGTGAATACTTTACCAAAGCACTGTAAAAGTACTTAGGGTGGTGGATATCTACAATTTACATCCACTTACAGGTCATATTAATTTGGGAATAATGTCACTGTAAAATGAAATCTTTAGAGGAAGAAATACTGAGGAAGACCCTAAATATGGAGAAAAATATAACCTTCTTCAGTATATCTTTTTTGGCAAGATCTCACAGTCAGCCAGTCATACATTTAAAGCATTACTGCAGCGCAGGGAATCTGTTTTATTCTTAATGTACTATCTTTCCCCATTGCCTACTTTTCTTATTTCCACAGCTGCTTTTATTCTACATGGATGAATAAAAAGGCAGATGAACACAGCAAAGCTTTTTGGACTATAATAAAACACTGAGTCACAAGGTTGAACAATTCATCACTGACAAATTCCAAAGCTCAGCTACCCTGACAGGTAACTGTCTCTAAATCTATTTTATACAGCATATAGACCTGTTAAGATTTGCTGTGCCATATTTCTAAATGCAGGAGTCAGTCCCCATCATTTTCCAGACATCTCTGAACAACACAGTATAGTGAAATATATTAATGGAACTGAGACTGACGGGGGCATTAAATCTGATTTACCACATTTCTTGGAGTTCAAAAGATGCTCTGGTCCCAAGTCAGAAAACTAGTGGGTTTTGTGACCTGTGACCTGGTTGACAACCATTAACGACAAAAGCATGAATAAAACCATAAGTTTCTCTATTCCATGCCTTAAAACCTGAAAGAAACATGCAAGCAAACAGGAATGGTAAAGTTCTATGTGTGACGGAAGAGCAACTAAATTATTTATTCCTGCAACTTTCACAAGTTTTATAAATGCACAGCAGCCACATTGAATCTGAGTCAGGAATCACATCAGTGAGACTCAAGTTTGTGGGCGTTCTGTCTGATTTTTGCCTAAGAGTACAAACAGAATAAATAGCAAGATAATTTATTTAAAGTTTAACATTCAGTTCTTTAAGTTAACCCAACATTTTGGTATGAATTAATGCACTTACAAATTAGATGTTTCTTTTCCTCCACTTAAATTTAGTAGATTGTTCAACATTCTTTAGATGATACAATCAACTGATTTGAATGCAAGCACTTGCATTCTGTCCCAAAACAAATATGACATCCTTAAAATTATTCAAATCACTAAAATATTTACTTAGCAGCATTTTTGGTTCAAATGTTAAAATATTGTTTTTGCCTACAAATAATTGATAATTATTCCATCTGAAAATGATCAATATTTTAAGTACTCATTAATATTTGCTGACAGTTTTATGGTAATGTTTACAAAAATATAGATGTTCAGTAAAATAAATAAATGAATAAATATTGCAACAGATATTCTGTTATGTGTTGTGTGGAAAAGCTTAATGCAAGTTTGTTTGGGACCTCTCACAGAGCTCTGCTCAATATGTCATTTGAAAAAATAGCGGATGACATAAATCCAAACCTACAAAGACATGATGCTGAACCACTTAAACATACATAAAAGTGCATTATCCCTAGAAATATGGCTGGACTTAGGCCATTTTCCAAAGAAACATTGTAAAAGTCCCTATATGTGCAAAGGTGGTGGCAACATACCAAAAAACACTTGCAGCTTTAATAACAGCAGAAGGTGAGAAACGGAGGCCATCATGACGTTTTTGTCTTACTTTAATTATGGCTTCATTCTATAATGTGTTAAGTAATTCCAAAGCAATGCTCACGGAGTGACAAGGACAGAAGTGACATAATGCAAACTAATGATTTGCAACAATGTTGTACCTCAGGAAGAGACGTAATAAACAAGCTCCATTGTGAATAGGTCAATAAATAAATATCTTCCAAGTTTGGTTTCCTTTTTATACTCAACAGGTCCACGAGTTCTTGCACTCAAACAAACAGTCCATAAAACACTTTTCGCTGCATTTAAATATCGGAAATATAGATTTTCTATTCCTACTGCAAATTAAAACACCTGAAGTGCTTCATTACAACGCTAGTGTTGTTTGTAATTGAGAGGTGGAAAGCCGTTTGTGGTTACAACGGCATTTCAGTATTGGCTGCTTGTACCTCACTGAGCAAATGCTGGAGCACGACACAGGTGGAAAACAGGAAATACTAGTTAGTGGCTTTCATTAAAGTCCAGAAACGTGTCGAAAATGTATCTGAGCGCCCATAATGTGAGCTAATAAAGAGATAAGAAGCAGTGAAAGGTGCTGCTGCGAATGTCAAGCATGCAGACAAGCAGAGGCGCAACAGTAACATTTGTGCAGCTTCCGTATGGCATTGACAGAATAGTCTAGAAAATAAGTTGTTAAACCAGGGAGCAGGCAGAGCATTTGACAGTCTTCCGGTTATAATTCATGCTGTCTGTCGCAGAAATGATAGCCACATTACCCACCTCCAAAACAACCCTTACCTTTTTCAGTCTTCCAGTCCTTTTTCTTTTTGCTCATGCTGCCGGAGTGATAAGACTTCGAAAGGTTGCTTTTTGATTGTGACAACCCCAGGCTCACAGTGAGTGGAGTTCCAGGGGTAAAAGAAAATAGAAACGTAAAGTGAAACAGCCACTGGACGGTTGTCTCACCTGTGAAGCTGTCAAATTTCTATGGACCCCTTAGTAACGTCAACCTATCGTGATGGCGCCGTAAATTATGTGTGGGAATTCTGACCACACGATTGGTTCAGAGGAATAGGAAAGTCGGCCTGTGATTGGTCTGTTGGAGCAGTCCGTCACACTGTCCCAACGTTCAGAGTGGAGTGAGGGTAGGTTGTTTCCGGTGGTTCGTCCCTCCAGCGTGTGAGCTGTTGGAGACTTGCGCCGGTGTTGTGCTGAAAAATGTACCCAGGTAGTTTAGCTCGCTTTGAAAAGAACCCAGTTTACAAAGGCAATATACATTGCCGAAATTATCAAGTCAGTTATGGCTTTTATGAGCATGGATTAATTTATAACTTTTTAATGTTACCAATTCATTAATTGCTTTCAGATTTTCTTTCTGAAACGAAGGGTTCTTTTTATGGACCACAACGTGTAAAAATGCAATATTTGTTAAATTATTCCAAATGAAGAATACTGCCACGCTAAATCTGAGATTATTAATTGATGGTCAAAATTTGAGAACTTGTTTTCACTTTACTTTGCTATTGCCTTCTGCTTTCAAGGTTACCTTTTAAATTGAACTTTTAAAATACATAAAAGTTGCTATGAACCTTCAGGGAGCTTGTAGAGAACAGTTTCTACATTGTATATTCTCATAAGTTTTGCTTTTAATATAGACTATACAATTCATGTGAATTATGAGGGCTATATGCTCTTAGGGACCTTTTAGAAAATGTTTTCGAAATATTCTCAAATATAGTCCTGTGAAAGTTGAGGGTAGCTTTTAGACAACCTCCAAAAATAACATTGTAAAGGTTTTAGATAACCTTTAGGGATCACATTAAAAAGGGTTACATATAAGAGCATTACCGGCAACCCGGAGTATCATTTTCAGCAGATTGTTGTACAACAACAGCACAATGTACAACACTTTGAAGAAAAGGTAAAAAATGAGTTGCAACACGATTTAATTTCCATTTGAGATCAATTTGAATTTCAGATTCAATTGTAATAAATTTAGTTTAAATTCCATGTGACTATGGCTAACAAGCCAAGCAAATTACAGCATTTGAATTTGAATAATCCAAGCATACCTCAAGCAATATGGTTTTATTTGAGAACATTTATGTAATTCATTGTGATTATTGTTTATGGTTATTATTAAAGCTGAATGTGTTGATGGCATTTCTGTCCTTCCTATAAAGCACAGTGCTGTTTCTCACAGGAGAGACTAGATCAGACCAGTAATTTGGACTTGTTACATGTGAGAGGCTGGTTCCAGAGACCACCGTCTGTCATCTGTTGTGCTAGCACTGCTCTGGTCCAGACCCATCTGCTCCTGAAACCACTGATATTATATCTGAGGATGGAAAATTAATTTAATCTAGAATGTAGGTTACCTGAATTCTGTCCAGATCTCACACTGAAATATATTCAGGTTTTAAGCAGGCTATTGAAGGACAGAACAGTAGCAGTACATAAAAAATAGACTTTACAGATGGAACAAAAGCTCTTGAGTTGTTGGAAATCATTGTATCTTACATTTCCATGACCTAATTTTCTCCAGCAACTGCTCAGTTTATGCAAATTAAAAGTATATCTTACACTGAGCAGCTATAAACAGAAAGTAACTAATTGTCATTTCCAGGAACAGAAATTTCCTCTAGTTCTCATTTCATTTGATCCCACTTTAAGCAATATAGAAGCACACAGTTATATAGTACTGTATTAATTCCCTTTTGTCAGCTTCTCTGAATAGAACCCATTATCATATCATCAATTTAAACATAAAAACTAAGTCAGGATGTGAAGTGTCCTGCAGTCGTGTGCTTTTTACTCCAAACCACTAGATGTCAATCTTGTATCAGCTTAAACTTTAAGAAAGGGCATGAAAGATCTTTCTCACGATTGTCAGAGAGTCTGCTGCTGTTATTCAAAACATCCAAATCCTTTGAGTGTATCTTTCAATCTCAAGATGTTGGAACTTTATTGAAAATTGCTGACTTCAGTAATTTGATTCAAAATATGTATGGCTTTAATTTCAATGATTAAAAGTCTGATAAAATTATATTTCATACGACCAATAGAAAAATAATTTCTGCAAAGTACATCTGTGGCCACTTTAATAGTGAATAGTATTTTGAGATGTATTGTGCATTTTTATAGTGTTGGACAATGCAATTTATTGAAATAAGGCTTAAAGTCTGGATGTTTGTAATTATTTTTTTTCAAACCTGTGAAAGGTCTGTATACTGAGAAATGACAGCATAGTGACTCTTCACCAGTGTTCCAGCCTGAATACGCAATGTCGATTCCCAGCTGGGAACACCCCTTCCTTGGGCTGGAAATTTAGTTCTTTAATTTATTTTTTGTACATTTAGAGCTATCTTTTTATGAATCAGGCCTTTGTGTCATATGATGAGATTTTGTGGTAGGACCGACATGCAGACTGGGTTCCGAGTGAATGACACTGAAGTTGTGGGTTAATATGATGAAAGTTTATTACAAACAAAAGAGCAGACTTACAAAACAGAGGCAGCAAACCATTGCAGGGAACAACAGAGTGCCAAAGAGATGACAGGTACGGAAGAAACTAGTGGAGAACAAAAGCAAACTGGGAGCATATATAAACAGAGGGAAGAGTGGAAACGACAAAAGAACCAGGAGAACTAATTACAGGTAATCAGATGCAGGTGGGAAGAATAGTGGAGAAAAATAAGGCAATGATTAGTAGCTTGGCTCTGGTGAAGAATGGAGGAATGAGGGGAGAAAATAAACCAGTCCAGGAAAATGTGAGAGGAAAAGAACTCTGAAATCAATGAAACTGTAATAGAAAGAAACATAAATCTAATTGAGCAAAATCAAACACAAACAAATCAACAAACTGAACTGAGACAAGAAATAAACTTGGTTGGCAGACAAGGCAAGAGAAAAAGACAATAAAGAAAAGATCAAAAGTAAAAAATAGCTTAAACCTAAAAGGGATAATATTTTCTTTTCCCAAAATGGTGTTATGGTGGCAGACTGGGTTTTGGCAACTATGGAGGACTCTGTTGACTCTCTCATAACCCAACCTTTATGTCAATCTACTATAAAATAAATGCCATGACAGTTTGTTCAAAATGTTAACTTTTAATTAGTCAACTTTTTCTAACAGAGAAAAAGTTGACTAATGACATCTGTGGCCATTAGTCTGTTAGAAAAAGTTTTCTAACAGAGCTTTTTCTTCCGCTCAGCATTTCAGCATAATTCTCATATACAGCACTCTGTAAAAAGACAGAGTTTTTAGAAATGAAGTGTTTAAGTGTTCACACTCTCCTTTACTAAACCTCTTGAAAGCCTTTGATCTCGGAAGACGTTTTATTTCCCACTTATACAGATCTTTTGACTGAATTTTCTTCATCATTTATGTTAGCATTTCTTGTTGGGGTGCTTTGATTTTAATTCACTTATGCAGTTGTAGGACGAATAACTGGTATCAATAACTGTCAGGAGTCTTTCCCATTACTGTGTACAACATAACATAACATAACATTCCTGTCTTTTAAAAAAGTTTTAGTGGTCTTATGATTTTTTTGTGTGTGTGAAACTGTGAAATTATATGTATGGTCTTTCAATCAAAATGATACTTGTCTATGTATTGCTGAAAGTTTAATGTCAATTGAAGTACTTTCAGATTCATTAGATGACATTATTTCAGAGTAATGCCTCTTAAGTTTAACTTAAAAAAACAAACAATTAAATGCTGAAACTTAGCTACTTCCCTCCAGCACTGCTTCTGTCTGAAGGGCAGTTTGCATACTCCAAACAGAGGAGGATCTATTTGTGTAAGTTTGTGTAGGCTGTTGTTATTGTCATGGATACAAGAAGATTAAAGGCACTGACTGCACCTACAAGTCACTTGGAAGAACATTGCCTCCTTATGAGCTGTTGTTGTTTTGATATGCATGTCTGTCATTTCTCCACTTTGGGAAATTGCAACATAAAGCAATTATCTCAAGGAAAATACTCACAATTATCGCCCACCTAAATGGTGCCCTAAGGCTACAGGATTCTTAGGTATGAAACGGAGCAAATTTCTGTGTCCTTATGTCAATAATCGCGGGGCAATTTAGCTCTTTCTGTACTGTTCAGCTTGTTTTCTGCAAAGGGATTACATCATAATCATGTCTCTTACAAAGTCAAGGCTTTACGTTAAACTATTTTCAACAGTAATTTGTGTGCTTTCCTTGACACAGCTCACCCTCCCAGTGCCAACAATGGGCTTCAGTGGGTTTTGAAGGTTTTAATGCAGCATCCTTCATTTGTATCATGTTTATATAATCTTGCTCAGGACAAATAAATGGAGACAGGAAATATTTCTCCCTCTAGACTTGATTAGGTTTAACAATAGGTTTTATGTACAGATGTTAAAGATTTCCTGTTTTTTGCTTTTTTCCACAGTTACATGTTTCACAATAAACACATTTTAACATCAGAAGACAACTTGGGCAAATAAAAAAAGACTGTTTTCAAATGATTTGAATTATAAAATGTAAAAAGCTATCCAAACTAACCATTTATTTTGTGAAAAAGTGAGGCTGGCTGTGTCCCCCCTACAGGCAATAACTGACATCAAGATTTTGTAATGTCTTGATTTACATTATTGAGGAAAATGTTCAGCCTACTTTCCAAAAAAATCTATTTAATCTTTTTAGCCACTAAAAGGTGGATAAAAGATTGTTTTCTTTAAGAAATCACCTTATTTCATAGGCCAGAAAGTGCATCAGTACAGGCTTTCGGTTTCACTAACGTGGTGGTATTATTGGGAAATCTTAATTTAAATGTCAGAAGAAAAATGACACATTATATCAATAAGAAAACTATTATCAAATATGCCCTGCAAAAAAGATAGATTTATGAGCCAAGTATAAAACAATCATAGGTTAAGTTAGTCACCTCTCCAGCATGAGTGCTGGATGTATGGTTATGAGACGAGGTGCCCCATGCAGAAAGACTCCAGTCTGAGTTTCAACCAAGGACCTTCTTGATT